CTCACAAGTGGACCAACAGGTAACATCACGACACTTATTGGAGAAAAAGTTGTCAAGGATTTCCTCTTGCTTGGATCTACCAGCATCGAGCTCAGGGAAGAAGCAGTCAAGAGTTCGCAGGACGGATTGCAGGGGGAAAAGCTGCTACCCCAAACCTCTTTCAAGACCTCTTTGAAAAGCAAGGATGTTACTTTGAAAAGTAGCATGCCCCTGCCCACTTCGGGCCATGGTGTCTTCAGTGGCCTCCAGTGCACAGGAAAGTTGGACACAGAATAAGGAAGGCCGAAGAAGAGCCATGCATTTGAAGGATGGCGCTGGCCAAGAGGGCGGAAAGCACCATGGGGTGCCAAAAGAACACATGGATCCGTCTTGGAAAAAGCGCGGCCAGGTCGGTCCTTAGAAATGAGATGGCGAGACTTTATCACACGTGTCTGGGGCAGGTTACCAGGAAGGACGGGTCCCTGGAAAAGGACCTCGTTCGTGTGAAAGTAAAAGACAGTCAAACAAGAGGACCCTCCAGGAGACGTGTGGCTGCAACGAGGGCCTCAGACAGAGGAGGAGCGTGAGGCTGGCCCAGGGCCGCGGGGGGTGTTTCCTTCTGGCGGACACGGGGTCCCTCGAGTCAGCGCGGACTCGGGCACCGTCAACAGTAGCGCTAACATGCCGGCGGCCATCAAGCCCACTCTGACTCGTGGTCACCCGTGTGTATCAGACAGGATGTTTTACGACGGAGATCACTGCGCCTTTCTTCCAAAGTGCCTGCCACTGAACTTGAACTTCCAACATTGTGGTGAGCGGCCAAGGAAGTTAAACATTTGCATCTTCAGGGACTTCCATTTACATTGTAATATGTGTGTGTATATGTGTGTGCGTGTGTATATACACAGCGTGTGCATGTGCATATGTGTATGTGTGTTTATACGTGTGCACCTTATTTGTGTATACACGTGTGTATGTGTATATGTGTATATACATGGTGTGTATGTATATTTGTGTGCATATATATATATAGCGTGTATGCACGTGTGCATACTTGTGCCCATGCATGCATGTACACGTGCATGTGTTTACGTGTGTATATGCATGTGTGTACACATGTGTGCACATACATTTTGTGTATGTTATGTGTGTATACATATATGTGTGTGTGTATATACACACACACATAAGGGGGCTTCAAAAGTTTGTAGGAAAATCCCATTATCTTTTGATTCCATTTTTCCACAAACTTTTGGATCCACTCTCACAAATGATGCATCTCAATGGCGAGTAGCAATACGTACAAGGTAAGTAAAAAACTATTCCTATGACGGCATAGACATGTTTTTAAGTGACTGCAACGTGAAGCGATTGTCCCTGCACATAGCCTCCACCCAAGACTACTCCCCCACCCCCCTACCCCCCATCCCCTGTCTGAAGGTGTGTTTCCAGCTCTCTGGTCCCTCCTCCGTGAACTCCACACCCTTCCACCGAGACCACATCCGGACCGCAGTCCAGCATCCCCAAGGGACTCAAGCTGAGTCCCTTTTACATGCTCTGCATTTGGGGAGCAAAAAGAAGTCAGCAGGGGCCAGTTCAAGGC